GAGATTTAAGGTCAGAGGGCTCTGAAGAGAACAGCTCTGGTGCATTACAATTATATGGCTATAGACAAGCACTGGAAACTACACCAGAGCCTATTTCCTGCAGTGTAACTCGTTGCATCCCATCTGGAGTTTCAGGCAGTTTGGAGAAGGCTCAATTAAACACCTGAACTTGGAGGCAGTCCTCCCTCCTGCCTTTTGATGTTTGCCCATGACCAATTGAAGCTAGCCTGTATAAAAAAGTTACCTGCATGGCTATCTTTTCTATTTGCTGCTTTGATAACGCCAGTTTTTAAGCATCCTCTTTTATTAAAAATTGAAATCGGTTTCTTTCATAACAAGTGAACGTTAAAAACCCAGCAAGGCTATACAGGAGGCAAAGCCTGACTGAAATCCACCTCCACAATTGCTGCAGGAAGAGGTGTCAAAAGCAATAACAGAGAAAAGTCAGCACGGGGCCAGGGCTAACAAGAAAGCGTCTCTTTCAGACTTTGAAAGAGAGCACATTTCAGAGGTTTTTAAATAGTCAGCCATCCCCATATCAACATGGAAGGGGATCTGTTGCTGCCTTCTCTGGCTGGGGATGTTTCCCTGTTATTGACTCCCCCAAGAAGACAAGATGGCTGCTGACGCGTGAGATGGCAGCCTGGTGTTGGGCAGGGCTGCCACTGCACAACCAGAGGGTAACCAGTATGGATTTGCCATGTTGCGTCACGTGAAATGCTCTTGGAGGAAACATCTACAGAGTCTCACATGCATGGGGTAACGCCAGGGAGAAGGTGGCCCTTGAGATGCTTCATGGCACTGAGCTGGGCAACAGTTTACATGGTAGGAGCAGCTGCAGGTGCAGCAAACCCAGCCTAGGCCACAAGCAGGTAGCCATCGAGGCACACTGAACACCAGCTTCTCAGTGATGTCACTTTATATCACAACACTGTCCTCTTTTTTCCACAGGCATCTATATGCAATACTCCATCCTTTTAGCACGTCAGTGTTCTCAAAGCTTTTCCTGAACAATTATAAACCCTGTCACTGCTGAACTAGGACGAAAATCTCAACCCCTGTCCTTTTATGATGTCCTTTTCTGCTGTTTCAAAATCCACCTTCACTTTCAGGGCTCTGCTGGGAACTGAAGGTGCTGGAGTGACGTGCAGAAAGCTACACAAGACCCACCCTCCCTCCAGGCCCCACCATGACTCTAACCCTGAAAACAAGAAGAGCAGAGGCTGTTGCAGGCAGCACTATTGATTTTGGCACCCAGGTCCCCCAGCTCACGAGCACGTGTTGAGCTGGTGGCAGGCCCTGCCACCTGAGTCACTCACACGCAGGAGTACGTCAATTAAACAAACATCTCGGTTATCAGCACTGATAGGATACACAGCCGTGGGAGATGGTCCCACGTGGCACTGTGCATCAGAAGATCTCTGAGGCAGGAAAGCCAGCCAAAGTCCTCCTCTGGCCCTGTCACACAGCCTCGTTCCACCAGATCCAAGAAGTCTCAGTGGATTTTAAATAACCTCCTGACAGAAATAATAAACACCTCAGATAATCTTTTCTGACGAGCATTTCCTTAACTTCCTCAACTGCCTGAGTCTGCAAAATGGGGCTGAAAGGGAATGTGCCTGCAAGATTTCTGGTACCCTCTGCTTTTGATCACAGTGGAAATAATCTGAGAGCAGGTTTTCAAGGAGAAACGCACCGTTTCTTCTTCTGGATGTCAAAAGGCCACAAGCTAATGAAAAAGAATGAAAAGGGCACCATTAATATATACTGCTTCTGCAACACTTTTCATCCAAGGATCTCAAAGCAAGGGTGACAGGTGGCCATTATTAACCCCACTTTTCAGGGGAAATAACAAAGTCTTGGCAAGGTTAAGTAACTTGCTCAGAACTACATGCCAAGTCAGTGGCAAGACACAGAAGAAATGGAAAAAACCCTGCAGTCCTGGCTGCATTCGTGAAGTTTGCCTCCAGAGCAGAAAAAAAAAAAGGAGCGTATTGGCAGTGTAGTCCAGGCTGTGATTTTGGGTGCTCAGAATAGGTGTCATGAAGCTGTAGACTGTGATGTTTTGGTGCAGATCTGGACATCTCTGCTGCAAACGATTCCATGCTGTGAAGTGAATGCCACCCTTACCATTTTAATTGCACTTGTTTGCAAGTCCCTAGCAGCATAGCAGAGACATTAAAGCAGAAGTGGTAAATCACACCGAGCTCCGTGGTTTCTGTCGATAAACCTTTCCTTTGGTTTCTGAGTAATGCCCCAAGGATTTCAGATGAAATGCACATGAAACTGGTAGGTTTTACTGAGTTTCACAGTGATCTGCTTCTGATGTAACGCAAGCTCTCTGCATTTCCTCCTGCAGCAGTCACTCCACCCAAAGGCTGGAGCATCAAGGGGACATGATGCCCTGTATCCTCTTCCCTGCTATTGGCATAGTACATGTTCAGCACTGACAGGATGGTGGGCCTGCCTGTGACATGGCCTGTGCTACTGGGGCACTCAGGCTTTGAGTTGCTTTGATCCAGACTACCCTGCACAGTTTGGTTTACCTCGTGAGGGTTCATTTGAGTAGCTTCTCTAAAACAGTTCCTTTTCATTCATGCTGAAAGGCTACAGCACTTGGTTTTCAGCAGGGAACAGTGTTACCATTTTGACACTAATAGGGAAGAAAAAAAATTATTCCATCAATCAGGGACTATTTAACACATTAGCAATTTTCCTTCATTTTTCTGCCATCCTGCATTAACAGCTGTAGGGTCAGATCCAGCACTGGTGTAATTCCATTGGAGTAACACTAGGAATGAGCTTCACCCATTATCTCTAATGTTGCTAAAAAGGTCTCGATAATAGATTTTTTAAGTTCTTGATTCTGAATACTAATCAGGTCCTTTAAAAAGAGCACTTGAGTGGGATGCTACTAAAACAAATATGCTCCGATATTTTACACCACATCTTTCTATTCTGTTGCTTTTCTCTGTGCAAGTAAATGAGTTTTGGGAAGTCACTTCTGTTGTGCAAGCAGCACTTGTCATCTGTCCCCTACTTACCTGTACTCCTAGCAGCCCTAGAAGAGCCCATAGGACATCTGTCACCATGCAGGAGGTCCCAGCTGAAGGTCTTCCTTTATCAGCCAGTTCCCCCAAAGCTCTCCAGAGCCCAGACCTCATAAGCTCCCCACTGCATTCCATCAGCAGCACCCCAAGAACCATGTACCCAGAAGCTCCACATTAGCAGCTCCTGGCCAGCTCCAGCCCATCAGTGACTCAGTGAGCACAAAGCACACCCACAGGGACATCGCAGCACAAGAACAAAGTAAATGCAGCACCACCTCTTACCTCTTACCTTTTGAACCTTTTAAATATGCTCAGTATTATTTTCACTGTACATTAAATACAACCTGTTCTCTACATGTGCTCTTGCTGAGAAGTTCTGGCGCAGCATCTCTCCTTCCTAGCATTGAGTTCCCTTTTACACTGCTGACATCCACTCCTTGGGCAGAGTCAGATCCTCTTTGCCTTCTGCTGGGCATGTTGGAAGACTTTCTGACCACATCTGGCAATCACACAGCCCCTAACAACACTATGAGGATGAGCAGCACCAAAAGCAACAAATTCCTCTGAGCTGAGGAGGAATCAGTTCACTTATGGACATGCCAGTGGCACCACTATAGGTGGGTATTGCTAAAACTGATGGGGGCTGCAGGTCAGCCTTCAGAAAAGTAGAGATACTCAGGTCTCCCTAGGATGTGAACCTTTATGGATGTCCCAGATTGGCACAATTTTGACGCTGGTAACATTCACAGATCTAAGGATTTTTCTCACACCCTTGGCCATATGCTACTTCAGCCAAATTCAGTGTTTCCCCAGCTTTGGGGGGCCAAATTATGACTAAACCCTTCACTGTCTCCTCTTTCACAAGAGAAATGAGAGGGATGTGATGAGCAAGTGGAGCTCCTGCTCTGCTTAGCAGCAAAAGTCTTGCTCCTTGTCCCCAGCAGCTGGGGTGGTCAGAGAATCTTCTGATCTGCAAGGAGCTATGTTTATGTGAAGTGCCCCCAGCACTGCTTACTGCACCAGGAAACCTTGCAAGTACCTAAATACAAAATTATTTGCTGGAAGTTCTTTCAGCGTCACAACACCCAAAGTATTGCTAACACACTGTTATACAATTTCCTGAAGCCTAATGCCTTCAGGAAAAAAAATGTGTGTCATAGAATGCACGGAGTAGAATCACGAATCATTAGAAGAGAGCAGAATCATTAATCAGCTAGAATCATGGACTCACAGAGTATCCCAAGTTGGAGGAACCCATAGGGATCACAAAGTCCCACTCCTGGCTCCACGCACAAACACCCATTGCAGATCCCAACCTGCCAGTTTCCTCAAGCACATGGCCAACTGGGGATACCCAGACCCAGGCACTCCCACAGTGTCCCCATACATGCCTGGCGGGACCTGGCCTTGTCCCCATCACTCCATGTATCAGCCCTGCTCCCCATGGCCACATGTTGTCTCATCCCTGTGAGGACCAGAGGGAGCACCTGGGGGAAAAATCTCCATGCCACAAGGATGCTGGAAGGACTGCCATTTGTCCTCCTTCACTCCCATCAGCACGCTATGCTAAAAGGTGAGAATTCTGCTCCCACACCTCAACCCAGCTGTCACAGCTCAGTGGGGAAAGGGGGACACTGTAATAATCAGCATTTATTTCAGCATCACCAGGCACGAGCCCTCCGCAAAGCAAAAGCTAATGCATACATCTAGCATACAGCCAGCTGGAGTTTTATTTAAGGTCTATTGGTGAATTGTAGGGGGAATACTAAAGGTCTTGTTATCCTGCAGCTTCTCTGGGAGAGCGCATTTAGACATTAAACCTCGGGAGCGGTTGTATTAGCCTAACTCGCCTGGCGTGGTACATGCAGTTGGTTAGTCCGAAGTGCAGCAGCATGCAGCTTGTATTAATCTGGCACAGGCGCCTTATGCACAAACAGGCTTTATGCTTACAATGATCCCAGCCCAATACGGAGTGTCTCTGACCGGCAGGGAGGAGCTGACGCCTGCCATGAGGAAGCCCAGCACCGTTACAGCGACGCCGAATGCCAACTGCAACAAAGCGCACAGCAGTGGGAAACGGCACCAACAACACGTGTGAGATTCCTCCTCCCGGCCAGCTTTGGGTTCCCCCTTGCTCTTCTTCTTCTTCTTCATCGCCGGCTCCTGTGTTTGGCCAGATTCCGTGTTCTGCTCCCCGCTGTGGGCCGCATTGTGCTGGGCTTTCTTCTCCTTCTTCCCCATGCTGCTCCTCACGTGCGTGTGTGTGTGCCAGGGCTCCTTGCCCCCCAAACCGCGCTCTGTGCCGCCCCAGTCCTCCCCGGTATTTGAACCGAGGAGGAGGCTGAACAAATATGGAAAACATTCGGAGAGACCGTCAGGGCTTGGAAATGCCACATATAGCCTGGAGAAGAGGGGGATTCAAGGGGGGTAGCCAACTGCCAACGCACCGGCGCTGCAGGGGACGGTGAGCGTGGGGTTGGAGGCACACGTGTGTGGGATGGGAGCTGCGACGTGGGAGTTGGGTCCTGGTCCTGTCCCTGCAGAGCTGGGAAGGCAGGGAGCTGCAGCAAGGGCAGCGCAGAGCCCATCCGTGTGTGCAGTGCTGGACGGGGTGACGGAAAACGTAGAGGTCACTGGAGAGCAGTCTGCCCCATGGGGAGGCCAGGCACCCTCTCAAAGGAAGACCGTGGGAAGCACGAGGCGGCCGTGCTTAGCTCACGCCAGAGGAATTACTCCAAAGCTTAGGGGTAAGCAGGTGCTTAAATGCTTTGCTGGAGCAGGGCCCAGGGGTGTGCAGCCTGCTGCATGGAGCCAGCCGCTGCACGTGATGCAGCCCTGCCTGCACTGCCCATGTGGGGCCTCTGCCTGGCAGACACTGAGAGGACAACAACAGGGACAACAGGGCAGGGACAACAGGGCTCCTGCTGTTGCCCCACCGAAAGCACCAGGAGGAGCACGGCAGGGCAGCCAGCACTGGCAGGAGGAAGCCGCAGGAGTGGGGGAAATGGCCAGCAAAGCTGCTTTGGAATGCTACACAGTGGCTCAGGGGAGTAACCAAAATGTGAGGAGAGGATCTACGGCACACTGAGAGCATCAAGGAAACCTTTTCTCTGACATATTGGCAATGCCTTCTGAGAAACTGCTCTATTTCCAGCTCTTGATGGCATTTAACAGCAATGAACTGTGCCTTCTGTATTAATAAATTATGATGTCACTTTGTTTTATGGGTTAAGCGATATCCTCTGCAGTTATTTATCCTACTGAACGTAAGATGAAAGAAAAGTAGAAACAAAGTGATTTCAGGCACTTCTCGCACACATAACTCTCACTCTACATCCATAGAGCTAGATTAAGATACATTGTTCAAAGAAGCAAAATGAAAAGAAAGCAGAGGTGAAAAAAACTGAAAAAACCCCTACTTAGTAGAGTTGTATACTGTACTCTGTATCCGTAGCCCCTGACCAAGACATTTTGTCACCATCACTGGTGTGATAAAACACGTTCGTAATAGATTGCACTGGCTGGTGCACCTTGTCCCTACACAGAATTCACTCATGAGTGTACTAAAGCACATCTTCAAGAGGGTGAGCTGTGTGAGGAACATCACTGGGGGCAGAGGAGAACACACCTTCCCAATGCCTAGTTTAATGCCCATCACAATAATAACTATTAGAGTTAAAATAAGAAGTTGAATTTTCCTTTTCTTCTGGAAGCCTCCATTCCCCTAGTCTTATGCTCCGGATCTTTACCAAGTTTTTTCCTCCAGGAAAGCCTCAGCGCTTCTTTTAGCACCTGGCTTTGGGCTGGCAGCTATATTTATGATTGCTGTCATCCAAAAGGGACAGAATTCCAGCCTCCTGAGCCCCTTTTAAGAACCCCATGGTACAGCGCTGTCCAAGTCCTTCACTCTGGTTGGCCTGCTTCTTTAGGACTACTCTGGATCTCTGAGGGATGCTAATAAAGACGGTCACTTGATATTGTAAAGAAAACAAATACACATAGCATACTTAAAATCGTAAACGCCGTATCTAATCTCTGCAGCAATTACATATTTCACAGAAGAAGTTGGGAACGAACACATTGAAAAACACTGGGGATGGAGATAGTGTTTTGAAATGGTTAAACTGCGTGTACAAGAGGGAATAAAGGTCCTTTTACCATGGCTGGCCTTCCCTGCAGAGGCAAGCGTGCATATCTTACATGCTGGGAAGTTTAATGGGGATGGAGGGAAGTGGCGGATGCAGGATTGATCTTCCATAATTATTATCTGAACCAGATTATATTTTCTGATTCCACTTGGCATTAACAATAGAGGGTAAAACAGCTGTGAAGGAATTCACAGCACTAGATAGCAATGAGAAATTAAAAGAATTACTTTTTCAGAAATTGAGAGATGAAATGAGGACACTGGAATAATTTTCCAGAGTAATATATCTTCCGGATGTCGCTTGGATTTTCTCGGCAACACAAGAATAATCATTACCCTTTTATGCCCGAAGGCCCTGATTAAGTATGTTCTTAAATTAAGCACATGCTTGAATACCCTTCCTGGATGAGGATGTTTTCTGATTCCAGCCCAGCCACCATCTCTCATGTGGCACGCAGTTGTAATTTCGGTGTCCTTTACACAAAATGAGTCATCTCGCGCAGCTTTTCCACAGCCAGGCACGATCCGTTGTGAAGCATCGCCTGCTTCTGCTCTCTCCTCTGCCAAATGGCAGGACGCACCAAGTGACACTGACAAGAAGTCCAACAGCGCAATCAATGTCAGGCGCAGAAATGGCAGGACCTGGCCACAGCTTCATGATGACACAGTCTTTCCTATTCCTTCTCCCACTGCAGCGCTGCATGGGGCACCGCGAGCCTCAGATTTTGCTCTGCTGTGATTTTTACATGGGAAATAGGGGGAGGTGGTGAGGCTCAGGCCATACAGACACGCAAACACGCTCTCCTGTAATCGCATTTGTCCCACTATCTCCTCAAGGAGGAGGAATGCCAGTCACAGCGCTGCAGCACGTGAACCTGGAGCACCAGCATTTGGGAGATGGAAGGCGCTGAGCTGGCCACGTTGCCCCAGGACCAAAGGCTTTGCCCAGAGAGCAGCCCTGTGGCACAGAGCCGGGCTGAGCTGATGTGTCATTGGGCACCAGAGCCCAGCACGGCCGCCGTCTGCTAAATAGCAGGGAAACAGAGGGTTCCCTGTCTCAAATAAATGATGAAAGGTCCTTCCTAAAAGCAGACACATAAAGTCAGCCACTGTGCTTTCCAAAAGCCGATGCCCATTGACAGCAGGTAATAATAATATCTGGCTCTTGAAAGCGCAATTACATAAAAGACACCGCCAATTAGAAATGGGTCTGACACACGCAATTCAGTCTGGCTTCTGACATGGACATTTTTAAAGTTCAGGGTCAGCCGGAGGTGAGGCTTGTTTTCAGCACGCTCCTTTGAGGCCAGTTCTCATCTCTTCTCGTCTCTGCTGGCTCTGCTGCGAGCGCTGGGTTGGACCAGGTGACCTCCCGAGGTCTTAGCCAACTAAATCATTTTTCACGTGTGCTCCATGTGCCCTTCTGGCATCCCTAGGAGTTTGATTGGAGTGTGAAGCACTCCAGTTTCACAGGACAGAGTGACAGATATGAAAAATGGTAGAAGAGATGTTTTATGTGAGGTTACTCCACACAGCAGCTATGTATTTAACAACCTTGCTTGGCCCCAGCTACCACACGTGACCACCAGGTAAACCTGTGTGTACAGAAGAAATCAGTCCTCACAGATGGCAAATAAATCATGTCTTGCAGCCCCCAGAGAGGCTGTACCACACCAATTTAAGTTCCTCCATTTTTGCTTTTGCTGAAGCTCCCTCAGGTGCCTTGTGCTTGCAGCTCACCTCCAGCTGAGCCCAACAGGTGCCCCTGGCATTTACAGAGATCTCCCATAGAAAACATTCCAGTAGCTACACTGTCCATAATGATCTCACTGTTTCTGCTTCACCGCCTTCTCTTGCTGCAGCTTCTTTGGAGTGGAAGTCACATTTATTAAGCTTCTGCACGAGGCCTGCACTGGGGTCCTTGAGAGCTGCAGCTGCCAGTTGCTCAGAATCAGGATGGAGAAATAAGAGGCAAGAAATTGCAATACAACAACAAGACACTGGGTAAAGCCAGCTGCTGCAGCTCAGCATATACATTTCCTTGTTTCAGCAAGCATTTATACCAACCTGGAGTCCTTCGCATCTCCCTAAGCAGAGCGAAGGGGGTTGAAGATGAGGTAAAGTGAGTTTGCAAACACTGTGCCCTCTCCAAAGCTGATCTTTCTGCAAAGTGTATTCATAGAGGCTATTGTCTGTCAAAACACATTAATGAGATGTAACGGTCATTAGTCCTTCTCACCGGGTGTTGATTATTACTTGCTTAAAGGGAGGCAAATCCTCTTATTCATGCTCCGGCCATGGATAATGATTAGGTCTCCTCCTGGACCTGCTCACGGGGATGTGCACACACAGACACGCAACCAGGCTCAGAATGGTGTGACACAGGGTGGTGGGGGAAGGATGGCATCTCCTGCGCCTCACCTCTTATTAGGAGGAGGATTAAATAGTGATGCTTGACCCTGCAGGAGAGAGAAAGAAGCTTCTGCAGCAAGACCATGCCTGTCACAGCCAAGGGCCATCCAGTCTGAGGAGTGTCCTGAGGAGGCTGGTGCTGGCACAAGGATGGCCAGAAGCCCTGTGATGGCATCACCTCTGGGATGGGGCAACCTGCAGCGCTACTGGCTCAGCCTCCCTATGGCATCTCCTGCTCTTCTCTGCTGCCAACAAAGAGTTTCAGTGTTTGGGTACCGCTGGTTTATTTTATAGCCACACAGATTCAGATTTTTATTCTTAAACCTGGTGATTTATATAATGCCGCTACTGCAGGAGTAGGAGCTTTGGATGTAGAACTGAATGTCTCTCTGTTTAGGGACAAGACGAGCTGAAAAAGAAAGGCAAGATACGGCTCTCTGCATTCAGCTCTCTGGTCTTGCACTTCAGAGCTGCGAGGCAACAGAGAGAAAGGACGGACAGCAAAAAATCCTTCCTGTTGCAGCAATGATATTTAAAACCAAGCCGATGCTGAACTCTGGCTTTGCTCATTTTGACAGCGTGGGTGGGATGCACAGCCGAGATGATGGGATCAGTCAGCGTGGGAGACTGGGAGCTTCTCTGCATGGCAGGGGGTGCCAAGCATGCTCAGCTTGTCCCATGCAGTCAGTGCTTTGTAGTCAAACTAGAAAGTCCTTTTTTTAAGAGGCACAGGAAAAATGAAGTGCTTCTGAGTTGGTGTAACACTACAGGCAGCTGTAACAAGGTGCTCTCTCCACAGATCCAGGACAAACTTTGTGGTGCATATGCATATGTATCTCATTTTTCAGACGTTCTGGCACTCACAGACACTCAGGGCTCTGTTTCTGCTGCTGGCTCAAGGTCTCATGCTGGCACTTGGGTAGTCTCACTGAGTTATTCACTGCTCCAACTGTACTTCAAGGTTTGATGTGCTCAAAGGCACTGCAAGTTGTCTGGAGCAGATATTTACATCTGCAGAAGGCATAGTCTGACCAAGGGATCCGGCCTGTGTTCCCAGTTAGTTTGCTGACAAGGTCTGTGCCTCTTAAAAGCAGATGGCTGTGACCTTCCTCCAGCCAGACCCTGCACTGAGGTCTGTCTTTCCTCAGAGTCACTTTCTGGAGCCATGAATCGTAGAATAATGGAATGGTTTGGGTTGGAAGGGAC